GCATTTTTTACGTGTTTTTTTATTGCGGTTTAACACAATATATTATGAAACAGGATAAGAACTACGTCGACCAAATTTGACAAGAGATTGAGAATTTGAAGGTATTTTACGATGATCACGTGTTTGGAAGTGGGCTTTAAAAATACTGCGGGAAAAATGGTCGCAAGTATACGATGAAGGTCGGAGATATGGACATATGACCACAAACCTTGCTGAGGCCATTAATTCAATACTAAAAGGTACACGCCATCTCCCAATAGCGAGTGTGGTGAAAGAGACGTACTTTAGATTGGCTAAAGTTTGGTCGGATAAAGGCAAGGAAATTGAGAGTCTCATAAATAGAGGTAAAGCATGGGCTCCTACAGTGGTGGAATCAATGGAAGCAAATGAGCGATTGGAAACATTAATGGTTGTTCATAATTTCGACCGAGCTGGTCATACTTTTGTCGTGTCGTGCATACGTCGTAACGTCGGAGGAGAAGACCAAACGTTTAGAGTTTATTTACGACAAATGGTGTGACTGTGGTCGTTTTCAGGCATAGAAATATCCATGTGCTCATGTAGTCCCTGCATGTATGCATGCTGGTGTAAGCACATACACTTATGTTGATGAATGCTTTCACCTACGTAGAATATTAAATGTCTACAGTTATGCGTTCAGACATATCTCGAATGAATCATATTGGCCCAAAAAGGATCATGATGAATGGCTGCCAAATCCAATGATTCGCAGAAGTCCAAAGGGTCGACCTGAGTCCACTCGTATTCATACCAGTATGGATTTCCATGCTAGAGAGAGATCAAGCAAAGAGATGCAGATTATGTAGGGGTGAAGGCCATTCAAAAAAATAATTGTCCTAATTTACCAAGATATAGGCCTCATCATTAGTAATCATATATGTATTTCTATGTATTTATCCGGATTTAGTTTTGTAATGATTTATAATTTGAGGATTTGAACAGATTTGAATGGATGTGTGGTTCAATTAACGCCATTTTTGTTACATAACTAATACTCATACATAGAACACTTGTTTGATTTGTAATAATGATTTATTATTAATATTTAATTATTTGATACTAATGATTATTAGTAATGAAATTATAGTAATGATTTGATACTAAAAATCATTATAAATATGTCGAATTTGTTAAGGTTAAAAAAACTAGTCTAATTTCAATATATAATTTGTAACAAATAGCAAACGAGTTTACAATTGTTGTCGATGTCGGGGTGTTGTTGAATGATAATGTCGGGGCGGACGTCTGATGCGTTGTGGCCGTTGCGGTTGCTCAGGAGTATGGTACCCATCCTCCTCATTCATTGGGGCATTTGAACTGTCATGTGTTCAAAGTCATACGTCGACGAAAACATAGGAGAGTAGATGGGTGCCTCAGGCTGCACAAACTCTGGTATGTATGCTGGGACACTATAATCATCAAATGCGTGATGTAAAGATCTTGCATCGTCGAACAGTTGTGGTGCGCTATTATCCACATCGGTCATTTTCGCTTCAGGTTGTTGAGATGAACTTCCACTCCCACTCGGTAGAGAGTATTCAGCTTTACCAAATCTTTTCTTAAACCTCAAAAATTATCGCCTCTCTACCATTATTGTCGCCTCTCTGCCATTGTTGTCAGGAACGACTTTCCATTATCCCAAAAATAAGCAAGGTAAGCTGAAATCTCAAAATTAAAGTCGTCGTCTTGAATGTCGTCAAGAGTTGACATGAATGAAGCCCTATTGTTCCAATCATTAATGTAGGTTGCATGCTTCTCAACCCAATTAACATTTTCTTTACGGCGACCATCAAATCTGTGCAAGTCGTCATGCGTCTCAACTCAATTCACCTGACGACGACCATCTAAGTTTTGGAGGAGGTCATGATCTCATGGACTCCGCGGAATAGGTTGGTGGAAGTGGAATTGCCTCAGCATTCTATCCCCAAATTAGATCTCAACAAAAGAAAAATTGATCAATGGTGTAACAGCACACCAATATTGAAACCCATCTAAAACATCGTACAGCACCAACGCCAAAATTTTCTCATTCATGTATGGTCTCCAATTAAACTGTAAAATTAAAAAACAATAAAATTGATTTAAATCAAATAATATAATTAATTTAAATAATAATTAAAAAAACAGATTATACATACCTCCTTTTTGGCCTTATGTCGATCTTCAGCCTGAACTCTTTAATGTTGTTGTGCACCAACCCCGTGCCTTCAATTTTATGCTTCCATCTGTATATCAATCAAAACAAAAATATAACCATTTTGTTCAATAATTTTAATCAAAATAAATATTTTATAATTAATATTTTATATTAAAATAAAGGATTCATATTACCTTCCGGCAAGTGAAAAGTCAACCGCAATCCGACTAATCGGTGTCAAAAACGGAAGTTTATGCCAAGCCCATGATTGTAGTAGCAACAAACATCCACCGATTTCTGTTGTATTATTATCATTCACGACTAATGACTCCTTGTACATCTCACGATACAAGAACGCAAATATCGCATATCCCTAGCTATATTGCATACTATTCTCAAAATTTCTTAAAAAAAGAAGATATTGAGTGTGAACATAACTACCGGATTTATCAGGCATCAAAATTCCCTCAATCAACTGTAATATATATATTCGTGTTGCATATATAATTTGTGCTCCGTACTATTTAGTTGAAGCTGAAATTCATTCTTCAACCATGACAACCTCACACGCCACCCTCTACACTCTGGTGGTACGGGCGCTTTCCCAAGAAACAAGCTGCGAAGTTGTGCCACATTATTAAACTCATGTGACATTACCACCGACATCTCATTTGTTTGGACCCCGAGTTACATTGACATATCCTCCAGAGTTATCGTACATTCGCCACACGGGAAATGAAACATGTGCGTTTTTGGTCTCCAACGTTCAATCAACGCACTGATCAAAACTGGTACCAACTTGTAATATCGTACAAATGTTACATACCAAAATCCATCCTCTTGCAAGTTTTCTTCTATCAATGGGTGTGGCTTGGGCACTTTATGTAGCCGAAGACGAAGGACTCTCTGCTCGTCCTCCTGTAATTAAATATTTCAAAAAGTTTATTACAATCATAAAATAATATTCAAATATTTATTAATTATAATTCATTAAACAAATATTTTATTCACCATTATTCCCAAATGACTTGAAATATGTTCATTATCAAGTCTCAGCAGTAGAATTTGGTCAACCATTGGAATGAATCTGTAAAAAAAATTAAACAACAATATTTAAAAAATCATTTAATATAATCTAATATAAACTAACTAACTAACTAATTTACAACACAACAAAAAAATTTAATATAATAACTTATAATATAATAAACTAACAAACTAAACTTTTTAAAATATAAGTTAAACGTAAACGCTAAACCCTTAAACAACTAATAAAATATTCTTTTATATAACTAAAACTAATAAACTATTTTTTCATTATAATATACTACTAATAAACTTACTAACTAATTTTTTATATAATATAAATTCAACAAATAAATATAACTTAACTATTTAACTAACACAAACTAATTAAATAATTTTTTTATATAACTAACGACTAACAAAACAAACTAATTAATTATTTTTAACTATATAACTATCAAACACTAATTAAATAATTTTTTATTTATGTATAATATATTTAACTTGAACTAACAATCATATAACCCTAAACTAACAAACTAATTAATTGATTTTTGTTTTACCCTAAACCCTAAACTAACAAACTAAACATTTATAATAATAAACTAATTTAAATAATAAAAATTTATCTCACAAGAACCTTATCTCCCTTTCTTCTTCTTCCTTGCCTTTCTTTTTCTCTTTCTTTCTTTCTCGACTGCAATATCTTCTCCCTTTCTTCGGCTGCAATCTCTTCTCCCTTTCTTTCTTTTATGTTCTCACGTTAACCACCTCCCATATATAACACCGGCTGTCTCTATTATTTCACCAATAATTGTGCAATTCACAGGTTGAAATGGTTCACATGCATGCATCAATAATTGCTGCTTGAAGCAGTTGATTTCACGTTGAAATTGCAGCTATGATGGCTGCAGCGGGGAGCTGGAGGGGACGGCATGCAGCGGGGAGCAAGAGGGAATGTGCAGAAATATCACATGGCCATGCATGAGGAGACAAGGCGCTGGGAGTGCATGGCAACCTACAAGGTCGCCCGGAGGGTATGGCGACCTATGGGTTGGGTTGTGCATGTGACATGCAACACGTTCATACACACGTTCATTCTCTCTGTGAGTTCATCGAGAAGTTGCCACTTCGTAGGTCGTCCGGAAGGCATGGCGACCTACGGCCAACACTGTACATTTCGCCCTATTTCAACAAATAATCTTAGGAGTACATTATCTCGTGAAATAAAAAGTTCGAGAACATTATCTCGAGAGTTTTGCCATTTTAAGACGTTGACGTATTATTTTTAATATAAAATCATCAAGTTTCCATCCTCGTTCCTCACCATTTCGATTCTATGAGGTAGTGCTAATTGGTCAATCAAGGGACCAACACAATCCATCTCAAAGTAAAAACTCGTATTAAGAAAAAAATTACTAAAAGTTTTGACAAATTCCCAAATGCTTCTCATATTCATTGACCCAAAATCCATTTTCCCAATTCCCAAATTTGCTTCTTATTTTCCTATTCGAACTTCACCTGGGTTAATGGGAAGAAAAATCCCTCGACCACCCACTACCATCACCAAGAACTGGCACTAATACGGGTTTGTAGTTCATGGAATCCTTTTTCTTTACAAATAATGAAAGAAGATGAGGCTTAAAATTTTAATTTTTTTCTTTAGTGCTTCAGCTTTGTTTTACTTGCTGAATAATGGTTGTAGCTTTTGATGTTTATTCATCATCTGGGGAAGGTAAAGATACTACAAAAATGGAAATCTGAGTTCTTTCTTTCTAGTATCCTCTTTTATTAAAAAGGAAAAAAATGGAAAATATTACAAAAATCCTCTATGGTTCTTAAGTACCTTGTTGAGGAGAGCTTGACGACCAGGAAATGGGTTGAAAATCTCCACCGTCTCAGGCCCTTTACTCCTTTCCAACCTCACACTCTCCTCTTGTTTCTTCAACCTCCTCCTCTTCTCCCCATCTCCACTCTTGGCTTGTTTAGCTTCTCTATTCCTTCCATTGTTAACCCCAATTCTCGGTAACCTTCCACCATTACTGGTCCCCAGAAGCTCAAACTTAACCCTACTCCAACCTTCTTTATCTTCGTTATCCCAGCCGAACCTTTCACTCATCTCCAATAACAATGACACCGAATTCCCCGCCCTCCCTTTCGCGTTGTTTCCGTTCAAAACATTCTCGGCAAATTCCCACTCGATTCTATCCCGGTAAATTGGGTCTTCCAGCACTTGATCAGCCAGCTTCGCCCATCGCTCGTTGTCGCCGGCGCGGAGGTTCTTCGAGACCCAACGGAGATAATTGGAAGGGAGAGTGCCGAGCATCTTCCCTTTGTGTTTGCCGAAGTCGATGATAATGTCCGTTGCCGGAATCGTTTTCGCCATTGGGATAGGAGATGACATCTTTCGGGGCTTCAAGGAAGAGGAAACTTTAAAACTGAGAGGTAATGGGGTTGAAGGTGGAGGATTGAATAATAGGAAAGCCATTGATTTAGATTCAAAAGAAAATTAGAGGAAGGAATAGGGATAGGATAATGAAGGGCCATATATATATATATATACAGATACGGTCAGGCAATAACAGCAAGCCCGTCGTGTGCTTGGCTATGAGGCCCAATTTGTTTTTCATTTATGGCTTAATATAAAAATAAATGTTTAAATTATATAAAAAATATTTTTTGATGTCTAAAGAATTTTTATTAAAAATAGGTCTAAAAATTTAGACGTAACATGTGTCACTAAATGATTTTTTTACGGTAAAAATCTAAAAGTGTAGCGAAAAACAATTTAGGTACCTTTTTTAACAAAAATTCTTTAGGTACTAAAATATTTTTTGAGACATTCTTTAGGCACTTATTTTTGTATTAAGCCTTCATTTATTATTGCATTGAACTTTTAATTAAAATAATCGGAAATTTAAAATCTGAATTGATGTATATACAGATCAGGATGGGTACGTGCACATCGGAATCTAAAATTCTTTTTGTTAGTTATTTATTTTACTTAAAGTGTTTATGTAATACCATAAATTTTTGGTTAGTGACAAAAAATGCAAGTTTTGAAAGTTTAGTGGTCAAAGTATAAATTTGTAAAAGTTTAGGGGACCAAAACTATAATTTTAAAAATTTATATATTTGGGCCCATAAGTGGATAGTTTGTCCCGAAATAAAAGTTTTCGTGAGAATCAGAATTTTGATTCGGGATTTGTATTAAAAGTTATAAAGTGGTAAAGTCTTGTAAGAAATCAGATTGAATCGAAATTTCACAAAAATTTGAAGGATGTTTGATAAAGGTTGGAAATATTATTTTTCATATTTTAGAATAGTGAAATTTAGAATGGATCGATGGAATTGAAGTTTATTTTCACTATTCAGCCGAAATTGGAAAAATTTGGTGACTAAATTATAATTTTTGAAAATTTATATGGTTAAAGTAGAAAGTCAACTTTATTTTGGTTCATCTTTGACTATGAAATATTTTAATGAAAGATATTTTAATAACAATTGATAATTATCATGATTCATTAATGGTAACTATGGGATATTTCATTAATTGAATTTTAAATTATATTAAATAAAGGCCATGTGTATTAGATTTTATTAAGGAAAATTTAAGAATTTTCTCTCATCTTCAAGCTCCAACCGTGGCGGCCATTGTTAGGTAAAGGAGAGCTTTCAATTTCACTTTTAAAGCTTTAAGGTTGATTTTTGAATTAAGACATTAGATAGAGAATTAATTCTCTTGAAATTTTCTATCATTTGGTAAAAAAATTTAATGTAAATCATGCTTAGATGTTGATTTTTATGGATTGAGTGGTTGAAGAACATGTTTGATTTTGAAGATTTAATGGAAGATTTTTATATTATTAGTATTGTAGATTAATTTTCAAGCATGTGTGATAAATAAGAACATGCATAAAGGCATGTATGAGCTTCGGCCTCCTTAGGGTTTTGAAAAAATTGTTGAATTTTGATTGAATTTGATGATAGGATGATTAGAATAGCATGAATTTAAATGTTAGAAGGTTGAATTCATGCTTTAAATTAAAAGAAAAGTTTACCCTAATTGTTCCAAGAGGTTTGGCCATAAAGGGAAATTATCGAAAAAAATGTTGAAATTTTTCCTATGATTTAGAATTGATATTAGATGTCTTCTACATGCTTTGGAGATTGTATTAGATCAATTTGGAACCTTGAGATAATAAAAGGACCATTTTACAAGTTTTCTAGTTTTAACGTTATAAAAAGTCAATGTGATATCTTTAACTCTTAATTAAGTAAGTATACGGGTTATATATGTAACACTCTTAACTCGTATACTTAATTACGAGTTAAAGGTGTCACTTTGACTTTTATAACGTTCACACTATAAAACTTGTAAAATTTTGCTCCATTTTAAAATTTCAATTTATCTCTTATAACCAATTTAATTAATCGCATAAAAACATAAAGTAATATTTATCATCCAATTTAAAAACAATTTTAGGTAGCAACTAGGCAGTTCAATATTGTTTCTTATATAAAACTTTCAAAATACTACTAATTTAAAAATAATTTAATTACTCATTAAATTTTATATATACTACCAACCATTTTAAGTTAGTCTATTAGAGCAATTCAAAACATCTATAATAGCCATGACACTAATGAGTAAAACATGTCTTACTAATATTGGAGGTTGGTTTGATTTCCCAAGAAGAGATGCTTCCAGTGCTCCTTACTTCATGTTATTTTCTTTATCCGAATTTACGCATGAAAATCATCACGCGCTAAGTAAAACTTAGTGAGGCAGTAGTACAGCAAATGTGAGATAAAACATAACATATCATAAATACTTCAAAACATTAATTGAGGCAATTGTGCTTGTAAAGAAAATGAATTGATCGTCATTGTTATTGTCGCCGCTTCCATTTCTCTTCCTCTTTTCCTTGGATTGTTATTGCTTCCATTGTTGAAGAACATATGGGAATGATCAATACAAACTCCTCATTGTTGTAATGAAATCTCATCTTACCCTTTTCTAAAGGGTTCATGCCAACAAGAACAATACATAAATAGATGAAAATCAAGATTAACAAGGAAGCAAATGCAAAGAAAAAAAGACACACATGTTTAGAAGGAAGACACTTAAAGCGTATTGAGCTTGAACGGTCATTGTGAATTCAAAGGTGAGAAACTATAAGTTTAACAATCCAAATCAGCCTTCTTTTTTCTCATTCTCTTGTTTGAGAGATGAAAAAGAATAAGCCCTTGTTCTCAGCTCATAAGCATACACAAGAATTAATAATTAAAATCGTTTTGAATAATCTTCATTTATCAAATTATATCAATGAAAATGTTTCTGCCTTTATGTGTAAGTAGAGTTTGTTATCGGTTTGGATCATTCTTAAGCATATACTACAAAATAGTCTCGATCAATTTATTAATTTTGAAATTTAAGTGGTAAAAACGAATATTTACTCAAATATTAGTGCTCATTAATGGAATATATCATTTTTAATTTTATATATTCACTGTGTTTAGTGATGTAAAAAATTGACTCGACCTGCAAACTAGACTAAAAGCGACTCGCGTCAAAATTGTTTGTGACCCAAGGTGATGGTGATCCGAAATCGTTTTGAGTCTGAACTGGTGTTAACTTAATCCGAGTTGGACCTGAAAATTGTGGATCTGAATCTGACATGCACTCAATCTAAGAACGGATTGAACACGAATTGAATCGATAATATGATAACCAAACCTGACCTACATCCGACTAATTTGAACTCAAACCCGAGATTAACTTGGTAAATAATTGGTATTACCCGACTTGTTATCCACCTGATCTGTAAGTGCTCAACATGTAAATGATTTGACTCGTTATTGAATTGATATAATATTTACTTAACTTGTAATTTACAATTGATAAAATTGTGAGATTTGAATTTATAATAAACTATGATAATTAATATTATTACTTTTTAAAAGTTAAAATAGATTGTTAATTATTATAATTAAATTAATAGATTTATTTTTTTTAATTATAATGTTTATATTATAAATTTTTAATTATAATCATTAAATTAATTTTATTAAATACTTTATTTATTAAATATAACTTTATTAGATTATATAACATTAATTTAAATATTTATAAATTTAAGTTATTTTATATGTAATAATTAATTAATTAATAATTTTAATATAATTTAACTTAAAATTTTAATATATATATATATATATTTCAATAAAATCATTTGAATTTAAAATAAAACAAGCTCTTAGAATTGGTGTGCTGCCGCCTCTTTCTCTTGTAGTGGGCGGAGAATTTGTTTTGAATACCTTTGCTTAAAGAATAAGTAAAGCATTGAATGTGGAAGCAACTTTTTAGGCAAGAAATAATTAGCGCCACGTCAGTAAACTTGAAGGATATGATGAAGCAATCTCAACCATTGATAAAGGCAACATCCAACGATCGAGAATGAACATCTCCAATTTACCTTTGTGTGTGTATATATATATATATATTATAAATATAATATATTTATATAAGAATATATTTATTATATATACATACATCATATTATCATAACATTCATATATTTAATTACATATATCATTGATCATACTTAATTTTATGTACTTAAATTTTCACACACACAAAAATTATGTACTTAACTTAATTACATATATACTTATATATATATATATATATTATAGCTGTTTCAGTTTGATCTTTGCACATTATTTAATTTATTTAAATTATAGTTTGTAATTTTATGCTTAATTAATTTAGTACTTAAAATTATATTATAATATCCAAAATCTTATAAATTTTTGTTCCTCAACTTTTGAAATTAATGTAATTCTGTCTATTTTTATATTAATTTCAGCTTCACATCTTACAATTATTTTGATTTGGTTCTACGTATTGTTTAATTTATTTAAATCTTAACTTAGAATTTCATATTTGTTAAATTTAGTCCTTAAATTTATATTTGTATCTGAAATTGACCCATACGAATTTATATTTTTATAATTTACTTCAAACCTAATAATCAAATAATAAATTTCATTTCAAACTCTATAATTTATATCATAATCTCTAAACCCTACAAACTTTTGTTCACCAACTTTTTAAATGGATTTAATTTAGTCCATTTTTATATTAATTTTAACTTAACATTTTATAATTATTTCGATTTGATCCCTCGTCCATGAGTTTTGTTTAATTTATTTAAATTTTAGTTTGTAATTTCATGTTTGCTTAATTTAGTCCTTAAAATTGTATTTTTATAAAAATTGACCCATAACTATTTATATTTTTTTGTAATTTACTCCTAGTCGAAAAATAATTAACCCAAAAATGACCCGACCTGAAGTCAATCCGTACCCGGTAAGATCTGACTTGAACTTTTTTCTATCAATGATGTAACCCGACCTAAAGTCCATCTGAACCTGAATTAAACTGATATTTAATTTATTTAGACCTGAACCATTTTGACCTGA